GAACTCAAGATATGTCCGTTTTAGTGAAGACAACACATGCAGAAATTCCTATACGAGATTAATACGTGATTTTGTAAATATTACGAATTTTCAATATTTATATTGATTATTTGTAATGTAATTTAATATAGGATGATGAATTAGAGTTAAAACATGTTTAGTTTGTTATTATTTTATTCATTAGTTATTTAGGACCTTTAGAACTCAACCCCTATATAAAGGAAGCTTCATTCAACTTTGTAAAACATAGATTTCTTTGATTAATAATACAATGAGAGTTTGTTTTTGCAAGAGCTGATTGCCTTGTGCCTTCGAAGCTTCTTCTCCTGGAGTTCTTTCAAGTTCTTGTGAGGGAGATTAATCTTCACACTCCAATTTGCCTTTTCATCGCGACTAGGAGGGTTGGTTAGAGCTATTTATCGAGTTTGCCTTTTCATTGCGACTAGGAGGGTTTGATAGGACACTTATCCATCTATTTTCCACAAATCCATCCATACCAACAATTATCTTTATTGTCCACATTCGTAAGGGAGATCTTTTGGTTTTTTTATTATCTTATTTTATTTTTAATTTCTTTATCTTTTTTTTTATTTTGTTCTAATCTTATTGCCTTGATTCCAGCACCTCAAAGAAACCCTAAAGAATCCTAGCTACCGCCACCACCTTCCCCTATTCACCCCCTTTGTTCTTCATCGAGTCTAGAGCTTAATAGGTTTGATTATTCAACAAGAGCAACGTTCATTAATCCACCACTGCTTTCCCTATCATAACACCTTCTTCCTTTTTTTTCTTTTGTCTCCACTACTACCTTTTAAACCCTTCCACTTCCAATGGCGATTCTGGCATCGACTCATTGGAAAATTAGGTTGTTGACTCGCATTCATATTTCTCTCCATTCTCCTTCACCACCTTTAATCGATCCAACCTCATAGCTTCAGCGACATTGACTGAGCAATCAAAGAATCCTTGAAATCAAGCTCTACCACCCCTATTTCATACTTTAATTCTCCAACCATCACCTCCACCACCTCGTTGATTCTCAATTTCTTTGTGATCTTCTCCCAATCCAACTTATGGTCAATGTTCTCCCCAAATGATTCAAAACTTCCCCATAAAATAGCCAACTTTTTTATCGTCGTATTGTTCCAACAGTGGAGAGGAACACCAGAAAACTACAGCCAAGTCACCTTTTCCACCTTATTCAATGACTCATACCATTGTTTTATTTTTATAAAGATCTCATTTAAGTACGACCACTGAAGAGCTTCCAATAACAAGTGTAAGTATTCATCCTCGAAAGTGAGTAAAAGAGTCTTACCTCCAATTCTCTGCACCCTTATCTCCCATAAGCCCCAATTCCTTACCTCAACATAATACTTGATACACTACACACCGAAGATATTGTTCCAACAAAACACCTCCTCAGATTCCATACATCTTCATCTTCTACATGCCCAAGGATTTTTTTTTTCATTTGCACTGTCTGAATCTGAATAGAGGTTTCCCCACTTTTCCTCGCAAACGAAATAGTCTCGGCCCTCTCTGGGCCCCAATTCTCCTCAGTCGATTACTTCTTCCTTACTATAGCTCTTCGAGCATGTTTCACGAAAACCATCGATATTATGATATTATTAATCTTAAAGCCATTCAACTTCTCAATCCTTCTTGCTGCTTCAATCCTACTATCAGTACATACAAAGGCAAACCTTGTTCCCCTTCTGCTCCTCTTACTTGCGATGAACACACTTAGAACTTTACCTTACCTTCCAAATCCCCTTCCACTGCAACTTCGGTGATAAGTTATCGACGAATAAGGATACTATACTAACACCCGATCCAAGACTGGTAATCCCTTCCAGTCCAACTCTGGTGTTGAGAGTGTTAAAGTTATACGAAACCAAATATCAGAAATATGTGAAATTTTACTAACGGAAAGTTGTGAGAATGATTTTAAAGTAGAAAGTGAAACTAAATCTTTAGCAACAAATGAGCTTGGTGATTATGAGTTTTTGGTGGTAATTATTATTTGGTTTGAAATATTATTTAGTCAACATTTATAATGAAAAGATATGTACATTGATGTTGCCACAGAAAAAAATTAAAGTGATTGATTTCTTTTTTCCAGAGGTATAGAGAAACTGACTTTGGGATGTTTTGGATGATGCTAAGGGTATTGCCATTGAAATAAACATTGATCCCATTTTCCTCAAAGGCGTGAAATGAAAAGGAAATTTTTTATGAGAACTTAGATAACACCCCATCCAGGACTTCACAATTTCCAGAAGAATCATTTAGATTAAATTATTTCTTATATATTGTTGATCAAGTTATTGTGTCTCTTAGTAGGAGATTTGAACAATACCAAGAATATGAAAAAATGGATTATTTTTTTTACTTCTCATAAGTTGTAGTTAGTAAATGATGCGAGTCTAAAGTCTCATGCTTATTTTAAGTTTATTCTTAAGAATAAAAGACAACATGATATTGATGGAAATTAACTGTATGTGGAGTTGAGCTTGCTAAGTGAGTTCGTGTTTGTAAAAAAATAGGTCCAGTAGATATTTTGAGATTTTTGAAAGGTAATATTTTCTTCATGCTATTGTTACATATAAATTTTGTTGACTATTCCTTTGACAGTTGCATCCCCATAAATAAATTTTTCCAAATTGAAGTTGTTCAAGACTTATATATGTGCTTTACTATGTCATAGGAAATGTTTAATGGGTTAACATTGATAGAGATTGAGATGATATTTTGGAGAAAGTTAGCTATGAAGATTTGATCGACGATTTTACTTTTAATAGAGCTCGGAGGATGGAAGCTTTAAATAAAATTTTATAATTATAGAGTTGTTTTATGAAATTGTCTTAATTTCATATGATAAATTTTGATAGTTTATAATTTTACCTTATTATAAAATATTTTAACGATCTCGTATTAAAAAGTAACACAAAATCTATACATATTTTTAGACGGATGTGCTTTTAAGCACTAAAATTATAGGGTAAACTACACGGGAGACCATCAAACTATGGTCAAAAATCAATGACCACCGAACTATTTTTTGTCTCAATCAGACCACCAAATTTTTTCATTGATTCAATCAGACCGCCACACCGTTAATTTTAACAGAGTTGGTGATGTTCCATTAATAAAATTGGCATAATTATATATTTGGTCTTTAATATTTACATATTCTATCAATTTAGTCACTATTTTAATTCAATTAAATAAATTTAACTATCCAATTAGAACATGACACGTGCCAATGCATGATTGAAAGGTTTTATTTTTGAATTTTAAATTATTTAATTGAATGATTTTTAACCGATTAAAATGGAAAATTGAAGAACAAATATGCACCCAAGGAGAATCAAACCTATGTCTATGTGGAAAAATAAAGCTCCCCATTGGGTTCTAACTTACAACAATTTGTATTTGACTTATAAAAGTTTGTTAATGATAAAAAAAACAATTATTTGTTTAAATAAATTTCGGTTCGATTAATGGTTAAAGAAAAAATTCGGTTAATAATTTTCAAATACATTTCGGTTCGATTAACGGTTAAGGAAAAAATAATTTATTCTATTTAGTTAATTCGGTTAATAATTTTCAAATAAATTTCGGTTCGATTAACGGTTAAGGAAAAAATAATTTATTCTATTCGGTTAATTCGGTTAATAATTTTCAAATAAATTTCAATTCGATTAACGGTCAAATAATTTCGGTTCGATTAATGGTTAAAGAAAAAAATCGGTTGATTTGGTTCGGTTAATAATTTTCAAATAAATTTCGGTTCGATTAACGGTCAAATAATTTTGGTTCGATTAATGGTTAAGGAAAAAAATCGGTTGATTTGGTTCGGTTAATAATTTTCAAATAAATTTCTGTTCGATTAACGGTTAAAGAAAAATAATTTATTTTATTCGGTTAATTTGGTTAATAATTTTCAAATAAATTTGGGTTCGATTAACGGTCAAATAATTTTGGTTCGATTAATGGTTAAAGAAAAAAATTTGGTTAATAATTTTCAAATAAATTTGGGTTTGATTAACGGTCAAATAATTTTGGTTCGATTAATGTTAAAAATATTCGGTTAATTTGGTTCGGTTAATAATTTTTAAATAAATTTTGATTCGATTAACGGTCAAATAATTTTGGTTCAATTAATGTGAAAGAAAAAAAATTTGGTTAATTTGGTTCGGTTAATAATTTTCAAATAAATTTCGGTTCGATTAATGGTTAAAGAAAAAAAATTATTTAACCAAATAATTTGTTTAATTTTTTTATCATTAACAAACTTTTACATGTCAAATACAAATTGTTGTAAGTTAGGACTATTGGGGAGCATTGGCTCAACGGTTTGGGTGTCTGATTACTCTCCCACAGACACAGGTTCAATTCTCCCTAGGCACATATTTGTTCTTTAATTTTCCATCTCAATCGAGGTGGTGACACTAATTGGTTAAAAAATCATTTTTTTAAATAATTTAAAATTAATAAATAAAACCTTCCAATCATGTATTGACACGTGACATGTTCTAATTGGATAGTTAAATTTATTTAGTTGAATTAAAATAGTGACTAAATTTATAGAATATGTAAATATTAAGGACAAAATATATAATTATGCCAATTTTATTAACGACACGTCACCAACTCTGTTAAAATTAGCGGTGCGATGGTCTGATTGAACCAATTAAAAAGTTTGGTGGTCTGATTGAGACAAAAAATAGTTCGGTTGTCACATTGATTTTTGACAATAGTTTGATGGTATCTCGTGTAATTTACCCAAAATTATATGAGTCGTGTTTTGTTAAAAGTTATTGCAAATATGATGCGGGGTTCTAAACATTTCGATTGTGTTTTCAATTTCCAATTATATGCACTATAATCATAGCCCAAAAGCCCATAAACTCATGTTAGCCCCTCCAAAACCCAAAACCCTAACTCGAACATTCTCCGCATATAAAATCCTAACCCCAGCCGCTACCATTTTATTCATCCACTTGTCTCTATACCTCGATAACCCTAATTAAAAAAATGGCAGAAAGAGGCGGAAGTGAACGCGGCGCTTTCAGGCGTGGATTTGGTGGTGGCAGAGGCGACCGTGGTCCAAGAGGCAGGCGTCGGGGCCGCAAGGACGAAGAGGAAAAATGGGTGCCGGTGACGAAACTCGGCCGCTTGGTCAAAGCCTGCAAAATCACATCCCTGGAACAAATCTACCTCCATTCTCTCCCCATCAAAGAATATCAAATCATCGATCAACTCGTCGGCCCTTCGCTCAAAGACGAGGTCATGAAGATCACTCCAGTCCAGAAACAAACTCGCGCCGGTCAGCGCACGCGCTTCAAGGCCTTCGTTGTTGTCGGCGACGGTAATGGACACGTTGGACTCGGCGTCAAGTGCAGCAAAGAAGTTGCGACGGCTATAAGAGGGGCAATAATATTGGCTAAGTTGTCGGTGATACCAGTAAGAAGAGGTTACTGGGGAAATAAGATCGGGAAACCCCATACAGTGCCGTGCAAGGTCACTGGGAAATGTGGATCCGTCACCGTGAGGATGGTACCGGCTCCCAGAGGTGCTGGAATTGTGGCGGCTAGGGTTCCCAAAAAGGTGCTTCAGTTTGCTGGTATTGAAGATGTCTTCACTTCTTCAAGGGGTTCAACCAAAACTCTTGGAAACTTTGTTAAGGTATTAACCTTTGCTCCCTAATCTTTCTTAATCCGATTCGATTTTGTTGCAATTTGAGATTGTTTATGGGTTTATTTACATCTATTTGAATATGGGTTTTAAATGTTTTAGAATCAACATTTTTTGGATTGTTGATTACTGTTTATTACATCAGTGACTTGGGTCATTGGCATATCCTAAGGTTTATGTTAAATTAATTAATTGAATAAAAATTTGATTGAGTTTAGATGCTGACAGATGCATATTATATTTCTTTGCATCTGTGTATGTATATTAATGTATCAAAATAATCTTTAGGATGCATAAACATGATAATGAACTGCAAGAGTATCCGGTTTACCTACAAATTATGCAATTTTTTTATGATACCAAAACTGTTGTTGATTTTTAAGTAGGGAGAGTGATATGTTGTAAATTTGTAGCAGTGCATGTACAAAATGTGTGTGTTTGTATTCATTAAAATAAGCTTAAGATCTATAAACATGATTGTAAACACTAAAGAATAGTCCAGTTTATCCACAAATTATGCTATTCTTATGTCTACTTCAAATACATCTATGAAATATGTGAAGAGAATGCTTGTTTGTTGGTAATATCTGATGACAAGTTCTTGCTAATGTATAATTACAGGCCACCTTTGAGTGTCTTCTGAAAACATACGGTTTCTTGACTCCGGATTTCTGGAAAGAGACTCGCTTCACGAGGTCTCCGTTCCAGGAGTATACCGATCTGCTGGGAAAGCCGTCAAAGACTCTTGTACTTGAAGATGTTGAGAGGGTCGATATCTAATAGAGATATCGACAATGTTGTTGAAGTTCCTTTTTAGGTTGCTACCTTCACTTGTGTTTTTGGTATTGTATTAAATAATGGTTCAGTTTTGTTGTTTTTGTGTCTGGATTCTTTATAAGATTTGTAGTTTATATAACGAGTTGAAGACTTTATTTATTTGCTGCTTGCTCATATTACATGATATACCAGGTTTCTTCTTGTGACTAAAATTTAAACTAAAATTTTTGAAGATGTTAAGAAATATATATTTTTTTTGTGTTCGTTGTTAAGAAATATAGCTTGCTCATGTTTGTTTTTTAAAATGATAAATGACCCAAATGAATACAAACGAACGTAAATGAATTATCATAAATTTTAACTTTATATTAAATCAAGCAAAGTTTCTTAAAAGATTACATATATACGAAAACAAATATAAAGTTAACTAAACAAATAGATATAAACTAATGAATTACTGAAATTAAACGAACAAATTAACGTTTACGAATGTAAATGAACTAATGATGTATTTATTCATGTTTGTTTGTTATAAACATATATAAACAAATTTTCTATCGAACGATTCATGAACGGCTCGTTTTCAATCCTATTTAAATTTATGTCGTAATTAATTATTTAAAAAAAAAGCATGAATTAAATCTACAACTTTAGAACGACTAAAGAAATGTATAGGTTAGTAAAATGCATATTCTTTTAAAGAATTAATGCTTAATTTTATTTCATATTTTAATTAGTTAATTAATTAATTAATTAAACTAATTGATGTGATTTTTCTATACAATGCTTGAACAACTCAAGTCTTTTGATTTCATAAAAGTAAAACTTGAGTATTGGAAATTCTTTATTTGTAAATTTGAACTTATAAATATACTGTTTATTTTAAATAATTGTTGGTGAAAAGTAAATCAATTTGGATATTTCATTTTTAATTAAAATATTTATTAACTTGAAATTCAATTTCTATTAAAAATAAAATCAACATTTTTAGTATTAAGTGATAAGTATCTATCTATTGTTGTTTCTATTTAACACATTTTTTAAAGGACTTAGAGTCCTTTAGAGGAAGGAGTAAGATTGTTCCCCGATTTAATGACCTTCAGATGAAGGAGCAGATCACCACCGATTACAACTTAGCATCCTTCAAGGGAGGATTAAGATCATTCCTTGATTTGACATCCTTCAGAGGAAGGAGTAGATCACCAGCGATTACGACTTCGCGTCTTTCAGAGGAAGGAGGAAGATCATTCCTCGATTTGGCGTCCTTCAAAGAAATGAAAAAATCAATTGTTAGTTACAACTTAGCATCCTTCAGAGAAAAGAGAAAGATCGTTCCCCAATTTAGCGTCCTTAAAGAAAGGAGCATATGAACCATTGATAACTCTCCAAAAGAGTTATCATATTAATCATTTGTACCTAGGTTTAGTTTGAACTTAAGCATGTTTAGAAGCATTTTAGGATCATTTTTATTATATTTGTATACATATTGTATCATGAGAAATTTGGTATAACTTGGGTTGATTTTTATTTTTATTGCTGGAAAAGGGTACAAAAATGATGCAACATCAGTTGAAGTTACAAGGATGTTGAGCAGAGGTTGTAGCAAGCAATGAGTCATCAACTGCTTATCAGAATGTTCTAGAATGAGATAGTTGTCTAAGACAATTGTTATTTCTCCAATCAACACCTGATGCGTGGAACAATTTCATTGGAGATAGGATGGCTCCTTTCACCTATAAATAGGAGGGTCATTATTCAATTGAGGATCAACTTTTCTATTATTCACTCTCAACACTCAGCACAAATTCTCCCATCCCTTTCCATGGCTGCTTAAGCCACTCATCCAGGGAGTGCTGCAACATTCGATGAGAAGCTTCTGCAGAGTAGCATTGGCAGTCAACCTAGATCATTTCATCTACACCTGTCCTCCGCTTGAGACAAGGGCGTGTTATGATAGTTTGAATTATAATTTTATTTGGTGGATAATATTTGGTATAAACATAGTTTTTTATTTGGTATTTGTGCTATGATGAATGTTTTAAGCTTATGACTTTGTGCCTTGAGCTTTTGGATGGTTAAAGAGATTTTATCATCACATGCATGTTTATTCATATAGTATAGAAATATACATATGAATGTTCATGCTAATTTTTGTTAGCCTTGGTTTTGCGAGAAACAATATTGCATATTGAGATGTATGCTACAAAGCATTTTTCATAGTTAATAGATTAATTGATTGATTTAGTGAGAGCTGATTCTAAATGATTAGTTAGAGTAAATCAATGCTAGATACTTAGAAATGAATTTAAACACATGGTTATAGTTGAAATTCCCTTTTCACATTCCAATCTATTTGAAGGTTGATCTTATGCTTTACTCAATGCTGTTGTAACACCCTCAACCCGTATCCAACCCGAATTCGAGTCCTAAGTGTCACATTGACTTTTCAAAACATTTTCCTTTACATGTGGATAAAAAAATCCAACCCACTATTCGATAAAAATGAATATTTTTCATTAATTGACATAAATGAGTTTTACAAAACATATCAGAGCTTATATTATTCAAATCTTTAGACTACATGGCAACTACATTCTATAAAACAAGATACATATATTTAATATGTTTCCGATCCGATATTCGTAAGGAATATGCTGACCTGTCTTGCTCCTCTTAGCTTATCTTCTCGCTTCTGTAACCTATGTGTGAAACAATCACACGCTAAGTCTATGACTTAATGAGGCTTATAAAACATATAATATAAACTAAAACTTCTAACAATGCATATAAATAATTAATGCTATTATAACACACATCTTCATGTACACTTCATCAAATGAATACATACATACACAAACCTTATAATATCACCTATGAGTTTTTACTATTTCATATTCTTATAATCATTTAATTTACACTACTTAGCTTATATCATATTCTACTATCTTCATTTAAGTCGTTTACTTACCTTATTCTTAATCCTGTAATTTTGATCACAATCCTACATATCTTATCTCTTATTTCTATATGTTTCTATTTAACATTTCACCCATAAATTATCGTTACATATTCTAGTATCCTAATTTCTTATATTATCTTAATTCATTCCTCGCCTAATCTTCATTTAATAAACATACATTTGCATAACTTATTGTTATTTGATTCCCTTGATATTCTCATATGATTTATTAGATTCTTATACTAAATTTCATATCCCTTACTAATTTAGCAAGGTGTTCACAATTCTATCTTAAACGTATATACCTTCCTACACAACTTATCTAATATCCTTTGATACTTATTTATATACCTTTTCCATAGTTAATATACTATCTGTTTTGTCTCAATTCTCATTAATCATATAATTCACCACATCATTATCTATGTATATATATATATATATATACATACATAGCGTTCACTAGATTTCTCATGAAATTCCTTCTAATATATCATATAATTATATTATACTCACTTACATTCCCATATATCATATTAACATATTTCACATAGAACCTATCATATATGCAATAAATGATGCTCATACATTCACATCAAAATGTTCAATCACATATAAAAATCATATTAAGTTTATGTATATTATTTCTTTATTGGCCCATGTACATCTTGGAGAACTAAAGATACGTGAGTTCATTGAGGTTGTGCACTAATGATGTCACCACAACTCAAATAAATTCCTACTAGGGGCACTGTATATTTGTCCCAAAGGACCACTATGTCCCGAATGACCACTCCTTAAGAACCATATACATAATACAATGGACCAAATAAGTGTACCGAAGTGCCACATATATGTTCCACATAATTACATATATGTCCCGAAGGACCGCATAGAACCCTCAACTCTTGGCATGCCAACTATACCTCTAGCTCTCATGACACATAACATGGGCATCATTATTATGTTTACCATATATTCACATAGCCATATCACATAGACATAGGTTCTTATCATATCACTCATATCATATGGCTTATCTCTTGAAATCTTGCAATCATATCACTTATACTCTCATAAATCATATCCACATGGCTTATCTTATATACATATGTTCATATACTTTAGCTTACTTAACCTTCCATATATCCATACAATTCATTATCACATAATTGATATCTTAATCACATAAAAATAACATACATTCACACAGATCATACCACATATACAATAATATATCATATCATAATTATGCTCATATCAATAACATGCTTATATGTATGATAATATAGGAAATAGAGTTGTTGCAAGTATTATTTCCATTCTTCATAATATATCAACTAATACACACTCACCTTAGCCTTGCTTGCTTTGACTCGATCCTAATCTTTTGATTATTTCGGAACAAGATTACGTTCTATATCTACATAGTAATACATTGATACATATCAATATACTAATTAAGATATTCTAATATATCATTTCTTAGACTAAAAGAAATGTTACTTTCATCTCTTAAATAATGTAGGTATCGATGCGCTCTACAGTGTATCAATGCATCCTTTAATGAGTGCATCGATGCACTACTTATGCATCGGTACACAAATTGCATTCGATGTTTTCATCTTAAGGGGGTGCATCGATGCACTCACTATGCATCGATTCACTAATTGCATTCGATGTTCATTTATTTGAGAGTGCATCAATACACCTTGAAGATGCATCGATGCACACAACCCAGAAATTCCATTTTAAGCACGAAATTCACTCTCTTTTCATCTCAACTCTTCATCTTTCACCTACTTTAATACTCCTAACTTTCATACACATATTTAAACTCATTTATACTCAATAATAACTTCTTTAAACTCAAGATCCTATCCTTTATATGGCATTCAAGAATCACACTCAATTTCCAACATGTTCTAAATCTAAGTCTAACACTTCATATTCCTTAATCAAGTTGGTGACAAGTCAAATTCAACTTCCAATGCACTACAATCCTGAGTTTTTATTGATGTTTACTAGTATAGTTAACTTGTCAAAGAAGTAAATAAGAGATTAGAAACATTGGATGAACTTAAAAACATGTTAGAAAAAGTAGTATGATTATTGGATTGAAGTGTTCTTTAGAGATTGTAGATGTTATAAGAATCTAAATGAAAGAAAGTTAGTTAGGATAAGTAAGAAGAGTTCGATAGTGTTGTTGG